AATTTTTACCAAGGGGCCTTTCCGAAGGACGTGGCACCTCAGTACTTTCCTACTGAAATTTTTTTCGGTCCATTGAATAAAAGTAAACTACTCTAAATGGCCCTCACAGCAATTGAGCTCTTGAAAATTACGGGGATTTGCGATTTCGGTACTGATTATTGATTCGTAACAAGATACGATGGTGCCACTGACTTTTTCTATAAAAATTTCTAATCAGGAAAAAGCTTTTAAAGTTGAGAACGTAATGTAGACTGCCACCTCCATACCCTGTCAGACTCTCCGTACGCAGATAGGAAGCGACTGTTCTGCGGTAGCAGCCTCAGATTCCACACACAAAGTGGCAACCCTGCTAATGTATTTGCTCTCTATCTGTGCTCTGTGCATGGAATTTCTGACTGGATATTGATGTGAACTTTATAATAACGTAGGGGATCTCCTCCATTACGGTCTCCACTTTGAGACCTTTCCTGTGTTAAAAAGTTTGTTTTAGAGATAACCAATGGCACCAATGTGTTTCTCGCGATATTTTATGGACGGTGAAATTCGCAGATTCCCACGGCATGCAAAAGCTCCTTTTTGTACCTCATAAAAGTCGGAAAAATTACAAAATTTGGTAATTTATTTTTAGTAATTATAGATGACTTCAATTGAGCGCAAAGAAAAAAACAATTTAATGTCAGCATTGACTTGAAAAGAATCGGATCAATAGCATAAGGAAACCGTGAAAATAAAAATCGGTCATGTGAACCGAATATTTTGTGTTCCATATCATCCCGAATATTCGGTTTGTCAAACTGAACTTTTGGTTCGTGAAACCGAACAGTCGGCATATATGACTATACTTCGGTCGTCAGTTCACTTTACCGCACAAGTTCGGTTTGAAAAACCGAAATTTCAGTCGGACGAACCGAATTAGTTGGGATGATAAGGAACTCCGAACTTTTTTTTCAGTGAACCCTTCCTACAATAAGTCAAAACTGCCGATCCAGGACCAAGCCATTCAGATTTCCGCCACAACTCCAACTTGACAGTTTTAAAATACAAGGAAAGTGTTGCAAGGTACCTTTTTACTTCGGCTTTTTGTGTATCATAAAAACAAATATCGCTGGTGAAAGTGCAGAAGTGCGTATCTCAATTTTTGACGTGTTTTGAGTTAGCTGCAGAAACGTGTTGTTGAAGATGTCGTCTGTCCGCGAGCAAGAGATTACTATCGAAAAAAATCGAGAAGGCACCTAAAACCGTCGAACTTTTTTTGCGTATCTTGGGCTTAAGAAACTTTAACTTTAGGACTAAAGATCTTTAGCCTATCGTAAGTCTCCAGTATTGCCTAATGGAGTTTTTTATAGCAAACTAGTGGAGTATGCACGAGAACAGCGCGATTATCCTGCATGTAAACCATTTTATAAAACCGACACGTAAATTCTATTTTTTTAAGGAATGGAATAAATGGTGAGTGACAAAGCAGGTTCTTATCTTCTGATAAAGTAAGTAAACATATACCGAGCTCTTTTTTATGTTACGTTGGTGGTATAAACATATCATGCTGGGAGGACTAGATTTATTTTAATCCCTGGAATTTAATGCATCCCTTGTGCTATATCTCTCGAGCGTGGAGACTTCACGGGACCAGCATCCCGGAGGCGGTGAGTATCAAGGGCAGAAAGTATCAAAGACGCAAATGACTGAGCGATCGTCGATGGGGGTAAAAGAGGCCACAGATATTAGCTCAGCCTTTCGGGGCTCAGATTCTTTACCCTCGTCTGATTTTGACATGATTAATCGAGCGAATTTCTCCAGCGACATGGGCCTTTGTGATCCGTTTCATAAATGCCGACATCCATCCTCTTAAGACTTTTGAATCGTACGCAGTGTATTTTCACTCAGCCTTTTTCTTTAGATGTTTCATATGCGTTCGGACGACAATTCTCGCAGATGTTTAAGTCTTAAAAGTGACTGTCTTGGGAAATGAGACTTCTGGTTCCTAAAATCGCAATATCAAAGTACTGACACCAAGGCATAGAAGAGTAGCATTCAACTAAAGGTGGTATTAAGTTCGTGCCTGAAAAAAGGCAGTTTCGAAAGAAGATATTTAGAGTTCAAATATGCTATCTTCAGGACACAATATAAACGGATAAACTTTCAACTTTTCACCCACTAGTGACACAAAAATCAATTAAACCACTAGTAAAGTAAATCTTTCGGCTGCTATGATGAGTATTCCGTTGAATTTTCAAAATCTCATATTTTGACCCAACTTGACGTGGATTGCTCTAAGCACTGACAATTTTGCCTTCGTGAACTTAGGTCCTTTTTAAATGAAACTTCACAAACTTTTTTTTTTTTGTAAAATCTCACAATATAATCGAATCTCGATGGAAAGTTTACTAAGGAATTCAATTGAGACAGTCTGTGTATCAATATCTATAGTCTGAAGTTGGTCACAAATGAAAATATTTGCACTTACTCCGCAAATTAAAAATCCCCAGGAAATTTTTATTTAGAGGTAATAGTCCAAGTGGTTAATTGGTTTACTCTCATTCGGCGATCACATCGGACAACGCGGAAAAGAAGGGAGAAGACGAAGAGTACTATAATGATACTTATAATGATATTTGAGAGCCTGGGAAGTCTTTAAGTTCGCCTTCATTGGAGTAGGATACCACCCCGCGGCATAGGAGCACGTATAGATGCATTCGATTTTATCACGTATGACCTATCATTTATCGAATGCCTTTTATAGAGTTAATATAAATTCGAGGGATCAATTGATAAAATCTGCCGAGGGTAGTATAATTTTAGAGACCTTGTTTTGTTTGAATAACCTGCATACATTCGTTAAGAAAAGTATTTTCGTTATAATTTATTAAGTAGTGTGTTTTGTTAATATCGAAAGAAACACGTCATGCTTTTCAAATTAGATTAAAATAGGGTGTACTCTGAAGTATACTGGTTTAATTATTAACTGGAGCTTAATCAATATTTTGTATGCAGAAGATCGAGAACCTTGCTCGTTGAATTAATTGAGCTCTCTTCGTATTAGAATGGAGAAAATACGGTCAGAGCTTATGATAGCGATGATGGTGCGTAATTGTGCATAGACAGAGTTGTCTGGGCTGGCCATCCCTTTCCACACCTCGTTCGCTATTTTAAACCCCAAATGCTGAATTTTTTTTTAGGAATTTTTTTTGGGGGGAAGGGGAGGAGGGGGACAATACGAAAGTAAGGTTTTGGGAAAAAACCACACAAAAAGCGAAACAAAAAATAGGACGTAGGAAAAGCGAGGAAAAGAAGAAGAAGCCGGTTGTTGACGTTCATATATTTCCCTGCCCTTCTTTCTTTGGACGCGCCGCGACGTCTCGCGTCGAGTTAGAAAAGTAGGTAACGAATGGACTGCTTTTAATTTTTATCGCTTTCAAAAACTTATCATGTTCTCTTTCTTTTTCTTCTTCGTGACTTTCAACCCGGATCCAAGTGCTGGCAACCTTGTCAGACCAATTAAGATCAGCAATATCCGACGCGTATTCTCCTGCAAAGTTGAAGAAGGGACGAGAACAACAACTAGAAGCTCCCGCACCGCCCACCCGCTCGGAGAATTTCACTCAGAAGTAGTTGGGAGTGCTTTTGAATGTTCTGTACCGAGCCGCCACTTTCATTAAGAATGCCAACGCAAATTCCTCCATTATCTTCTTACAATAATTGTGCGAAGGGCGAATGTAGATATGCCACGCTGGCGCCTAACTTTTGCACTTAGGCATCGCGCGACCACTGTTGCCACTTAATACAAAAACTAAGTAAAATCGTTACCTCCTGGCCAAAGTATCACAAGCTTCATGCGAAGTTCTAAAATTTCCGTCGTCATTTTATTTTTTTTACAAAGAAATTGTTGGTCGAATCTTCTTGAAAATTTCACCGAATTTTATTGGCAGCACAAAAAATTTCAGTGAAAGTTTCGTACAATTTCGTTGAACAATTTTCTGTAAAAAATTAAATGGCGGCGGAAATTTCGAAACGCCACATGGCGCTTGTGATACTTTGACCGAAAGATGGCAAAATGGCCTACTTTAGACAGGGTAAGAAATAAGTATTGCAGTACATTTTCCGTGCCAAGATTTCACCCGAGAACTTTGAGCATCGGAAACTTCTAAAATGAACTCAAAAGTGGGAAACAAACGCTCATAGTTTTAGTTTACATTATAAAAGGTAAATTCAGGCCAAATCAGACATTCATCGACATTTTGACGGTAAAACTACTGGAGCACGTATTTCGATTTGCGACGTTATATACTTCCTTTCATACTTTATTTTGTAAATAGAAAACTGCTCATTGTCAATTCTTCAAAATATTCGTGTTTTTTCTTCTCTGCGTGAAAAAAACTTTGTGAAATTTTCAAGAAAATATATTGATTTGTGCACCTTCCAAAAAATTAAAAAAAAGTGGAGCGGACATTTTTAAAAACCGCAAACAAGATACGTGGTCTAGTAGTTTCACTGTCGATATACAATGGGCAAATGACCAGAACTTGATTTCACACACATCTTTTACCACTTCTAGGTAGTACAAGTTAACATTTATCTTGTCAAATAGAGTTATTAAATTCCTGGATCATTTGGAGAGGATTTTTCAAATTTCAGCTCCATATGCAGCAGAGGAAAATGCGTAAAATAAATGAGAGAAATTGAGATGAGTGTTTTCACAATTCGGCCCTTGATATTAAAATTTACGAATCAAACTGCTCGCACTAAAAATCAAAAGAGTCAAGAATGTGGAGGGAGGAGACAAGGAAGGACAAAAAAAGAGAAAATTAAAGGGGGACCGGAAAATAAAAGGTCGGGAAATTATTCATTCATCAATCGGTTTTTCATTGAATTGATGATTCTGAAATCAAATAAATCCGTCGTTCAATCAAAGCTTGCTCTAGGCCACGTCGTTTTGGTATTGATTCAGCTTGCTTGTCGCCTGACATCTCCGTGAGCAGCAACTGCTTTTTTATTGAATCGAAAAAAGTGTCAGCACTGTGTAGGTAGTTCGTGAGAGAGCTTTGTAAAGCCTTATTCTCAGGAACACGTCAACATGATGGTGCAGTTATTGTTTTTGTTTGGCGTGCTTTCTTTAAGTTTCGTGCTAATTTTTACGTCCAAATCAGAATATGATTGACAAATTTTTGCCTAAAAATGACTCCACAGCGATGACAAACTACTTTCAAAAAGGATGATAAAAATATAGAAAATTAATAATCATTGTGGTTTTTAAACGGATAAAGTGTCACGAGTAATGAGCTCGATGTGCCGCGCAGTTTCTGATTGCTCTAACTCAGGTAGGTTGATTTATTTTTCATGACAGTTAATCTTTTTTAGGATTTCTAGATCAACTCAAAAAGAAATAGTTTGATTCGTTTAATCACGATGAACGGAACAGGAAAGCTAACAGTAAGCAATTAACGCTTGAAAGGATTTGAAGGATTTTAGGTTGGAACATTACAAAAAGCGCCTGGGGTAGAAATTCATCCTAAAAATTTCGAGATGATTTTTATTTCTACATGTTTTAAAAATTAAAAAGTGCATTACAAAATTCAAAGTTGGACTTCTAATGCTCCCCAGAGAAATTATCGCTGTAGAATTAATAGAAATTCCTATTCACATCCGGACAAGAATTCCCGTTGAGTAAACAGGAAATCATGTTTCAAACGGTATAGATTTGTGTTTGACTCTACAAGATTTCTTGTCTGAGCTTTATTGACATGAAATTTTTTCTCAGTGTAGGCATTCAAATAGAGATTAATGCTTTTTTTACCGACAACAGAATAATAAGTGCCTATTTGAATTCATCATCAAGAGATTGTGAGTAGGGGACCGTCCCTAAATGGAGGTGTTGCATGTGTGAGGAATTTGCGATTTGACTATTGATTTTTATGTAAATTTTCGCGAGAAACGCGATAATGCCACTGTTTTCTCTGAAAACAACTCCCAAGCTCAAAAAAAGCTCCCAAGTTGAGGCCAAATTGGAGGGGATATCTATCCTGAGAGTCCACGTCTATCTACATCAAGAAACTCTCCATTCAAAGATAGGGAGCAAATACGTTTGCAGGGTTGCCGTGTTTTCAGGTTTAGAGTCCCAAATAAAGTGGCAGGGCTGTCAATTTATTTGCTCCCTATCTTTGCATGGAGAGTTTGTCTTGATGTAGAGGTGGTCTCTTAGGATAGTGTGGGATATCCCCTCAATTTTGGCCTCAACTTGAGAAATTTTTTTGAGCTTGGGAGTTGATTTCAAAGAAAACCAGTGTCACCATCGTGTTTCTAGCGAACTTTTACATGTAAATCAACAGTCAAATCGCAAATTCCTCACACATGCAACATCTCCATTACGTAACGTTATGGAGGGGAGAGAGGGGTTTTGTTTTTACGTGTTAAAGGATAGGCACCTGCGTCCTTAGCGTTACAAAAGGGGCAGGGGAGACTAAAATGTCGAAAAAGCGCGATACATAATTTAGGGACGGCTCCTAACGTTAGAAAAAGTCGCGAGTAACTTGTCAGAAGTCACGACTAACCTGTTGTGCATTCATGAATAGAAGCCAGTCAACTGACTACTAAAACTGACCTCATGTTAGCTCAGAGCCCGGAGTGAGCTTTTCGTTGGAAGGGTGGGGATAGAGGGTGTTACGAGGAAAGCTGTTGTGTTTCGTATTGTGATCTCGTATTCACCTGCCCCCACTGAATACGTTTGATCCGGATTTCGAGCATCAAAAATTCTCAGAGCGGATTAGAGGAGCGTGTTTGCTATGAGCTTCGAGACGTAGTGCTCAAGACAGGTGTTACTTGGGAACGCCGTGCGAATTTAAACAGGGCAGTATTTCCGGTGTCGCCAACTGTTCTGCTTATCGCACCACGAGTAACAGCACACTACGGTTGTGTGTGCGATTTAAAAATGGATTGGCGGCATTGCGCACCCTAAGGAGGGTCAAGACTCCCTGTGTTTGGTGATGCATCGTGTATGTTTATAATATCTGAGAGGCAACAAAATTTACATTTGAAAATGAGGCTTCTCTATGGTAATACCGAAATAGCATTTTCTTCATATGATAAAAAGGCCGATTTTCAACGACGAAATTTTCCGTATTCTTCATTTTTTTAATAGAGAAAGTTTTTCTTCCTCTTCGTTTAATAAATTTGATTCTCCAAAAAAGACGGTAGATGGTACAAAGAATTTATAATCATTTTCAAATTAAATGAAACGTTAGATACTTTCGTCCCCGTTAGATACTTGGCAACATTTCGTCCCTCCTCTGACGTAAGGTCATATCTCAATTCCCACATTAGCTCTAAAAAGCATGGGCTTATATGTAAAACAGGGATCACGTGGAAATTGAGATAAGCTCTAAAATAAATGAAGCAACGATTTGTTTAACTGTCGGCACATACGCAAACTGCGTCGGTGAGATCCATACCGTGGTAAATGAGTAAATCGTTGAAAAATGGATTGCTTATACACTGAAAAAAATAATCGGTGGGATTTACCAGAGTTTGGGTGTTATTTACCATACTGTCTACTTGATTTTTTACACAGTGAAGCTGCAGCATAGTTACCAATATACCGGTATGGTAAATAACACGATACGGCTGACACTATGCGACACAGTGCCAGTGTGGCGTTCCCGACTGACTAGTATGGTAATTTCAAGCATCCAGATGCTGCGACAAACCTTGTAGATTCTAAAATCCACTCATCTTATATTATTAAATGCTTTTGATGAAAGTCGTGGATATTTTACTTACATCTTACTTTTAGAAATTCCGTTACATACACAATCAATGGCAGTTAAAGACAGTTTCAACGAGAAATAGCAGATAATTGCTTCACTGATTTCAAGTAAATGATACCAAAACCATACTTGTTATTCGCGTTAAGGTATCATTTACAGACTAAATCAGATCCACGGAAAATTTAATTGCATATAATAAATAGATAGTTCAAAATATACCCACAAAAAGACACTACATGAAAATCCAATCGCACGGTTCACGGTGGGGCAGAAGCTGCCAAATTTTGCTTAAAGTTACAGTTAAACATCAATCCCACGCACATTTGTCTCTTCATCTGAGTATGTTGAGCTTCGAAAATTTTAACAAGAATATAGATATACCTACGAACGAAGTATTCAAAAATCACTTCTAGTCGATTATTTTCAAATTACTTCCGCACTTTTATGTTTTCGAAATGACTTTACACAGAACCGATATTCACTGGATTGCAGAACAACTTTGCGAAGGTTTTCAAATTTTCAGGATTCCTTCACTTTGCAAGCCAGATTCATTGTAGCAACTCCTAACCTCCAGAAATTGGTCGATACGAATAACGAAAAAATCTCAGAAAATGTATGTGGCAGATCAATATAGATAGATTCGAAGAGAAGACGGTAGCTTTAGGGACAATTCGAACACAAATTTGGGCAAATTACGCGTGGATTCACATGGATTAATATGGATCAATAAAACACAGCCACGGACTCCGACCCTCAACGTGATAAATTTATAACTGACAAACAGACAAACGAAAAATGGCGGACCACAGACCGCGCAGCGCAGTCAAGCGGGAGCTCTCAGCACGCTGACTATACCAGTATGGTAAATTTAACCTACCAACACCATGACCAGTCGCATACAGATGCCTACATATATCAAACGCAAGTGTTACCATGTTATTCCATACTTTTAACTCATCGTATGGTAAAAAATACCCAGCTGATGGTGAGAAATACCTAAACGATGGACAGACACACCTAACTGATATTTACAATCCGGGTATGGTAATTTTTATATCGAGTATGATTCTCTCTTTCATCTAGATGCTTAAATCGACCATTATTTGGCTTTTTATCACCATATTTTTTTTTACTATACCATTATGGTCAATTCCACTTCCACTTTTTTTTCAGTGTACCGAAAAGAGTTTATACTATCAGAAAAGCGAAAACTCCTAGGTACACAGTACATATGATTCTTGTCGTGTAACTTTTTTCCGGAAACTTCCGAAATTATAGAAATTTTTGGGCATTTTTTTTTTTTAACTCAGCATAGGAGCTACTCAAGTAATTATAAACATTTCAAAACATTTTTAAGCCTCTGAGTTCGTCAAATCAAATTAATTTAACATTACATGGCACAATCTTCTGCAAATCTTTGAAATTTCACTGTCAAGCCACGATTTCGTGCCAAGCGCAGCGTGTCCCACTTTACGGCGTACAGTGGATCAAGTCAATCAGAGAGGTCGGACATGAAATTTTCAACTAAAACTGCAAATTCTGATGTTTAATTCGTCACATTTAACATTTCAAGGGGTGTTTCTGAAAGACATTTCACGAGGAAACCAGTGAAACCACTTTTAATGCCTAAACATTTTGCATGAGTGGAGTTATAAGCTTTTAAACTTTCCAAATTTCGTCCGACCTCTCCCATTGAATCGATCCTTTGAGTGACGTCAGATGTTGAATAAAGAGCAAGATTAACGCTCACCATCGAGCTAACTTTGGTAGAAGCTTTTTTAGCCGCACTTTTTTTAGTATATATGGACCTCAATTAAAACATGATTTTAAAAAGATGGAAAAAAGCAACGATGTAGAATTTGCGACTTAGAGACTCATTTTCAGGACTGGAGGTAAACAAAATGTTCATATATTGCTCTTGCAGCGCTGCATTCTGGGTCATAACCTCGGTGAGACTCAAATCTGACCGAAAAACGTGTGGAAGTAATTGAATTTAGAGCGCACAATTGAGTTGTTGAATTGAGTGCACTGTACCTTTCACTATACCCATAAAGTAATTTATGTTCCTGCGTATCCAACATTTCACCTCAAGTTTTTCTCTGTGCGCATTCCAGACCGCAGCGCGAATTCTGCAATATTTCAATAAATTCAATCGTCTCATTTGAGCTTCTTCGCTCAATAGCAGTGTCAAATCGGCATATTTATGTTTTGGAACCAAAAGGTATCTCTGGGCGTGATTCAGTGGCTTGATTAGGAGAGTATACAAAATGACAAACGGAAAATTCCTGATTAAATATAACGGAGAAATCTGCATTGGTTAGTTGGTTTACGCCGCAAGAATCGATCCTTAAGAATCCAATTATTTTGAAATAATTGATTATTGTTCGGTGAAGGTACGCTTCCCCCTTCAATTCCCAGCACCGGCCAGTGATTTTCATTTCAAGATTGTCATGAGGTGATCAATGGACTGAGTGAACTAGCACGAGAATATCCTACACGGAAAAAACGAGACTAGTGTTGAGCACTACTGGCCGTTTAGTGGGGAGTAGTTGAGGGCT